AATAAACGACAAAGAAGAAAAATCATTTTCTGGCCTCGTGAAAGTTCTGGGCTTCGCGTTTCTCGGACACTGCACGAGCATCACCTCAGTGGCACGGGTTTAAGGGGAATAAACTGTTAAATTAAGGGTGGGTTTAAAAAGCAAACGATTGTTTGAGGAAATGGCCTGTATAACTGTAGCGCTGGAATTAGGACCCCAGGGATGATTTGTGTCACTTATAAAGAGTGAAATGGTGCGGAGTGGGGGCGGCGGGGGCTAGGGGAAGCCTTGGTCCCAATAGAATATATTCAATATTATGGCCCCTCCATTACTTTGGGCAACAGGAGTGGACAAAACAGTTTTATTAATAAAGATGTTCCTCCGCTATGACACTTCATAAAGCCTCAAGCATCCAGCGCTCCCGAAGCCTTCAGGAGGGGAGCAGAAGCGGCACGGCCGTCGGAGAAGGACGTCTACCCACCACCCTACACTTCACGCCGCCGGCTTGCCGGCCCCAACCAGCCAGCAGGCACCCGGAGAAGGGCTCAACACAGTTTTATACGGCAGGATACAGAGCCAGACATCGAGCGACTTCGACGGCAACGAAGCAGCACCAGAGCATCCAAAGCCCCAGCCTTCCTTCCAGACCTTTGCTCTAAATGCCTTAGACCGGCCGAAGTTTTAATTACCTTCTGTTAATGAGTCAGAGCTGGCTCATTATGCAGACTTAGTTAATACCTTTCAACTTTAATGGCAACGCTAAAGTTTACAGCTAACACTTGGTTGCGCTAAGGCCGCCTTTCATCACTCAGTATGTTTTAAATGGGATTAGAAGATTTTAATAATGATTAGCAGCGCACACCACCCCCAGATTAGTTTCACTTAACAGATTCAATGAAAGCCTTACTTGAGGCACAGCTCTATGTCTCCTGCAGACATTTCGGAGGCAGGGGCCTGCCTCTACCTCCCTCCTCGCCTTCAGGCAGTGGCACAGGCAGGGGGCCACATCCCTGCTGGAGAACAGCTCTTGTCCCTGCTGGAAAATAGCTCTTGTCCCTCTAGGCAGAGAGGGCCAGGGGGAAGGGGGTCAGGGAAAAATGTGTCACCTGTCCTCTTAAAGAAGAAACCAGATCGATGACCTTGAGAAGAATCTTTTTTAAAAGCAGTATATGCGGCGCATTTAGAAGTCAGCTGTGTCACAGCAGACTCACTGTTGGGAAGTGATCGCGTACAGAATCCAAAAATAACAACCATTAAAGACCTAGCAACCAAAACATGTTTACATACCCACTGAAAGCCCACTAGCTGCGATGATATGGGGGGTACAGCAAGATCTGCTCTTCTATTTTTGGTGGCCATTCCCTCTTCCCCCTCTTCACTTCCCTGGAAAGTTAGCTTTACAGCCTTTTTCTACATAGAAACAGTGAAGGAAAAAGAGGAAAAAAGGGAATACGGCATAAAAGACGGGGCTGGTACCAGCTACAGCGGGAAAGAAGCAGCTAATGGTTCAAAGAAGTTACCCTGGCAAGCAAAAATTTCTTTTTCCCTTTAAACTAAAGGGGGAAAATCACCACTGACTTCACAGTAATTGCCTCCAGTCTCTTGTTCAAATTAGTTTGGCTCTGCTCTCCCTTCTCCTTCTGCCGTGACCTCCCATGCTACTGCACGTCTCAAGGCAGCGTTTGTGAGAGGCAGATCACAAACTTTAGCGAGTGGAAAAAGGACTGGGCAATTTACCCCCATGCCCGCTGGCCCAACTGAGAAGGAAATCCAGAAGCCCATCCCAATTTACTCAGGACCGAAGCAGCCTGTTCCGCAGGAGCAGCCCACCAAAACCAGAGTGCACCCCTCACGCGGGGTAATCCCCCAAAAAAGAATACCTAGGAATCCACAGGGATAAAAACATGCCAGTGGATTGGGCACGGGATCAAAGGTTTAGAAGTGAGAGAAAGGAACAGAGACACTGGAGCTACTGTGGTGGAAGGACCCAGTGAGCCAGGCGTTATCCCAAAAACGTTGACCCTGATAACCAAAGAGGCTCAACAGCTGCCGACATCCTCCCATTCAAATGGCTTTTTTCCTAAGCAAAATGCACCCAAAGGTCTTAAAGAATCAGAAGAAAGAGGCTGATTCCTGCAAGGAAGTCTCCCTCTCCAGTGCCAGCCATGGTCTGGCTTGGTTTGGAGCTGGAAAAAAAAAAAGCTTCCCGTGCTATAAGCAGTAACACAGCACCACTTGGGCGTGCATTTGTGTGTCTGGGTGAAAAAAAAAAAAAAATCAGATTACTCTTCAGAGAACTCAAACGTCTGGATCGTACGGACTCTGACAGGAGCTGTAGGCACTCAGCACCTGTGGGAGGGTCAGGATGTTTCTGTAGCAGATCCCACAGAGCTGACTGCCCCTTTTTGTCCCCTGTGTTTGAAGAAAAGGGTCTCGATCTTTAGGAATGAACCAAGATAGGTGCAGCCTCTTCCAACCCTCAATAAGGCTTCGCTATGACATGAGTCCACGGGAAGAAGCCATTTCTGATGGGATGATCCATGGTGGCTTGTCAAGGGTCAGGGTTTAGTGCCACAAGGCAGCACAAACTGCTGGGGAAACAACGCAGCACGCACTTGGGAGGTCAAGCCCTGCAGACAGCTGCTGGCCACCACCAGCTCCCCATCTCCAAATTCGGATTTATTTTTAATATTCAAAGCTACCAATTGCGCTACCCCGGCCAGCTCATCGCAACGATCCCAATTTTACTCCACTTGCCCCAGAAAGCACAGCTCACTGACCGTTAATTTGAGCTGATGATCCTTCTACGACGGTCTGTACGGCTCCCGGGTACCACTGCGCTTCCACAGCGGTGCTGCTGCGTGTTAGTGGTGAGCAGGATTTGTAAAAAGCTCTTAAAAACCTTCAACGTGAAGCTGATGTGCAGAATAGAGGACAAAAAAAACCCCAAACCCAAAGATGTAAGACAGTAGGACTTAAGGGGAGAGAGCCTGGGGCTCCACGTATTTAGTTAGTCCGCAGGACTGTTAAGGGGTGACTTGATCGGTCAGTAAACACCTACAGACATCAGAAATGTGATAGGAAGGATCTTCTGTCTAACTAACAAAAATTAACAAGATCCACAGCCTGGAAGCTGCCGCTGAACAGGTTTAGACTGGAAATAAGGCATCATTTTTCCTTACCAGCGAGAGCAATTAACTATTAGAACAACTTAACCAAGGGCTGTGGTGAATTTTCCATCACTGGAAATATTTTAAATCAAGCTTGGATCATCATTATTTAATACATGCTCTGGTTTGAACAGGTATTGAAGGACGTTCTAGGAAACTGTGCACGAGGTCAGGTTAGATCACAATGAATCATACCGGTATGAATTACCCGGATTCTAACATTTCAATATTAACATGAAGAATTGTCAGAATTACCCATAAGCAGCAGTCTGGAACAGCGAAAGGAGGAAGCAACCACCTTTATATGTCATTTGTGGGAGATTGTGGGAGATTAAATTTAAATACATTGTTGTTTGCCTTAATTGCTTGTTTGAATCCGATTTTAAGGTTGTATGATTGAAGTCCTCACATCATTAAGTGCTCAAATACAGCTAATACATTTTATAAATGACTTGCACAATTTCACAGGCAAAGAAGTTCAAGATAAAAAGCAGCCTACAAAAAAAAAAAAAAAGGAAGAAAAAAGAGGAAGATCACCTGCAAGTGGATAGAAAACGCTTCAGATGAGACTAGTGCTAGAATGACCAAAAAGCTGAGAAGTCCTAACTGTGTATTTTTAAAGAGCCCCAGTCCCCAAGAGTTACCAGATGAGATTTTTGACCCATTTCTGCACTATAAAAATAAATGCGTCACAGAATTCACATGCGGTCTCAAAGGACATGCCCTGGGGATGCAGAATTATCTTTAATTTCAACTGAGAGACCCACAAGAGGCATTAAGATATTAAATAAACTGAGGAATTCAGGGTGGGGGAGACAGGGAGAGTACCCTGGGATCAGTTAGAGCTCCCAAACGCGTCACAGCCATAATAGTTTGGCAACCCGACATCCAACGGCTGCAGCATCACTTAATATCTAATTAAAAGCCACAGTTCACCACCACCACCACCCCATCTCCTTCCCCTGCAAAAAGCATCTCTGCATTTTGAGGTTCAGAACAGACAAACCCGATACTCCCTGGACTCTACTTCTGCAGAAACCCCGGGTTCTAATAGCTCCCATTAAAATAGCCGGAGCAGGAATCGCCCAATCCTCCCCGTTCCTCCCATTTACACGGTGTGTGAGCTACCAAGACGCTGCACCACCAAGCGCTGGAGAGACCCTACGCTCAGTTTTGGGAAAGCACTGGCTTCATTGCAAAACTAAGCAAAATGCAATGGGAAAGGTGCCCTCCAGGGCAGGCGAGCCTACGGGGAAAGATCGCGTGACTGAAAAGGGGATGTGACTCATTCAAAGCAATAATCGGTTGCCCTACGAAAGCGAGCAAAAGTTTTACAAGGCCGTAGCCAACTCTAGCCCTGCTGTCCGTGGAGCAAAAATTCACAATGGGTCTTTTTTTTTTTGCAAGCCCAAAATAGACTCCCGGCAGTTTGGGGGTTCGCATAACGCAAACCGTCAACTGTCACATTCTCAGCTGCTTTACAGAATACGCTACAGCAGCTTAACTCATCCCGACGGAGAAGGAAGATCTGTCCTTTGGTTAAATAGCCTTGAAAGAAGATGAGCAATGTTATCAGAAAACATTAACAGGAGATCAGCATGTTTTCTCCGGGCTGTGTGGGTCTCATGGAAAACACCAGCAGAATAACAATACGCCACAAAGCAAGGCAGATTTCATTACTTTGGAGTGCCTGCACTTGCTCATAACCTGGATTTACACACTGCAAATCCTCTGATCTGATTACCTCCAGTGATCACGTAAAACACCGGCTTTAAACTCTTTGCCTCAGTGATAAAACAGCCACTTTGATTCACAACGACACATTCACAATAAAGTATACTGTAAACGTACCTGTCCACAGCCGGGGGCATTGCACACAAACGGCCTGTCGTCTCCCATATTTCATGCAGCTGAGCTAAGCTGAGGAGAAAGGAGAGAAGAGGAAATTGTTAAATAAGCTAAAAAAATTAAAAATATCCAGAGCAGAAGCTGCCCTTTGCGGGGCTGTAATTAATCAACGCTGTGCTCGCAGGGAAGGAGGATCTCTTTGTGCCTTAGACACAATCAGGGAAGAGAAATTAATCCAACCCAAGTTTAAATAAGACTTCGGAGGGCCCAGTCGATTTTTCACATCCGAAGAGAACGCGCGGCATCGCAGCTAGAAGGGCTCATTGGGAACCGTGACAGCGAGACAGTGCGGGCCAGCGGGTAGGAAAGGAGCGGGAGTTTTCCACGCCTGGGCTCCCCCCAAGGCCCACCACCAATTCTCTGAAGGGCCAAGGGACATTCTGCATCTCAGGGTCACCACCTGCAAGCTGGGGACAAGGCTCGTCTCTTGCAAAGGACCGTCTGGCGCAGCAAAGACCGACGAAACATCCCCCATACGGAAGGCGTCGAGGAAGGGCACAGCCTGCTTCGCCCTCCCTTCGTATTTACAGTAGAAAGCACAGACACAGAAGCAAAGACAGTGACAATCTACAGGAAAAAAAAAAAAAAAAAAGTGCAAGCAAGAAGCGATCTAATAAATCCAAGTCCTCTCTATGTACAAGTTATATTTTCAATGGGAGAGAACTAAAATTTGTCATTTAATTAATTAAGGGATTATAGGAGTGGTGCTCCGTTTTACAAGGCAATAATCTGGCTCCCTAGTGGGTAAACTACAAGGCTGATGGCAGGGGTAGTTTATCACAGATTATAGCCAAGGATAACAAAACACTCAGTCCTATTATGCTACAAGTGAAGCTATTCTTATTAATAAAAAATAAGAGTAAATAAAGTAACCCCCACCACCTCAAATTCAAGAAATAATGGTTCCCTCCACCCACTGATATTTTTATAGCAGGATTTTAAAAAGCTATAATAAAGCAAATGCTATCTCTTCAGGGGGTTTACTGTGCGAACATGTTCTGGCTGTTCATGTTGCTCCCAGCATCTCTTTACTCCAAGTTGGGCACTTGGCTTCAGCGACGCATGTCAGCTCGCTAGAGCCAAGAGCAGAAATGAAACCAGAACGCGTTCACGAAGACACAGGCTCTTTGAGTTAGCTTTTTGCATTTCTAGCCATTAATCCACGCACGCGCACACACACACCCCCCCCCAGGGGCAGCGAGAGGGTGGGGAGACTTGTTATTTTTAGGAGCTATACGAGAAAGTGCTCCAAGAATGCGACTTGAGCAGCAGAGGGTGAATGCATGTGCTACAAAAAACCCAGTCCCATTCTGCTTTTATTGAAAAGGCATAGAAATCAGCTATTGTTTAATATGGAAAAAAAAAAAAAAGATTATTTTTCTATTACCATGTGCTAAGGCAGTGTGCACTTAAAATGGGTGGCTACGAGAGGAGGAATTCCCCTCTCCGAGCGCTGGCTCAGCTGCAGCACACAACGGCAACAACCCAAAGCTATGAGAAAGTAGCTGCCAGTTCTTCTCCCACAAAAAGGGGAGAGACGTCCACAACGCTATGTTTGGATTTATTAAGCAAAACTCCAGGGCCTAGGCAAACACGAACTCACAAAGGATAAATGGCCCTCTCACAAATGGAACAGGCTAGCAGCCAAAACGCTCCCTAGCGTAGGACAAGCGTAATAATAAAGGCGATAAAGATGGCCGGGAACACCCACCCACCACAGCAGCCCCCCCAAAAAGCTCTCAGAAGTGAAACAGGACTTGCAGAAGCGAAGGGTGGCACAGCAGGAGATGGCAGCAGCTCTGTATCGGAAGATTAAACCCTGGCAAACGCTAGCCTTGAGGTGACACGGGTGCAGATGGCAGCAAGATGAGCCTGAGTGAGGCCACATTAAAACATTAGGACTCTTCGGACCACCCTTCTGAACTTCCACCAAAGCTCCAAACTGGGAACTTGAGAAACCAAAATACTGACCCCATTGCTCCTGCCTGCTAAACAAACAGCGATCTCACCTCCATGTCTCCACAACCAACTGATCCTCCTCCAAGAGGAATCTCCAACTGATCCTCCTCCAAGAGGAATCTCCAACTGATCCTCCTCCAAGAGGAATCTCCTCCAGGCCCTGAAGCAGCTGACTTATGCGCATCCACTGTGTCCTAACAGCGGGCACACAAGATACTGTCGTGACCTGCTCTGAAGGCACACACAAGCCCAGGCTTCCTCAGGAAGTTTTAACATGCAACAGTAGTCGCAAGGAGGGATGAAGAGGTCAAACCTTCTTGGAATACCAAACCACTGCACAGATCAACTCCCTGACACCGCAAAGAAGAGAAGCACAAAACCGATTAAATGGCTTTTTATCGCCGGCACTGTGAGGTCCAAAAATATTGCACCCAGACCTTCCAGTTAGCTGCACAAAAAGCTACAGGTCTGGATGAGTCAAGACACAGGGCTTAGTCCTTCATCACCCACTCCTAGCAGCAGGCAGCCCAATTATTACTCTTTCTGTAAGAAAATAGCAAGAGAAATCGGACCAGAGGCAAAGGAAACATCAACTCGATGACTACAGAGTTATTTTACCATCACTTCTGCAGTACAGTGGCTGGTAAAACTATGATTATCAGGACACAGACCAAATAAAAGTCAACAATTGCTGTCTTGGGCAGCCTGGACCTTGTTTTTTGCTCTCCCAACAGTCTCACATTGTGCCATATGTCTTCCTTGCCCATACAACACAAGAACCTGTCCCACAGCTCTCAGCGCAGCCAAGGCTCCCCGGAGCTGCAGTCTGTGTTGTCGTATCAAGCTGAAGGTAGACACAAGAGTCGTTAGTTCCAGATTTCTTAATCCCTACTTAGTCAAGGATTTGTGCACGCTTTGACAAGCTGGTTACCTGCAAAGTGAGGGGGCAGAAGCTCACATTCAGGGGGGCTCACGGGTTCGTGTTTGAACGGCGCTTTGATGATGCAAATAGCACCAGGAGTGACCATCCTCAGAGCTGGCAAGGTAAGCGCGTGACCGTATGAAAGCCTGAAAGCTCCTCTTGAGAGGAGTCCTCACAGCCAGGTATGCTGGTGAACTGGTCTACAAAGGGAGCCTGGGGCACCAGTTTCTACAGTTCTCAAACTAACCACAAAAATGAGAAGCCCTCTGCCAGTCCAGCGCCGCATTCAGCCGTTGTCAAGCCATTTAGCAGCTCCAGGTTAAGAGCTATGGTACCGAGCCAGCAGCAAAGTCACAAAACTGTAAAGGACAGTTGTAATGCCCCTGGCTGTCAAAGTCAGGCTGGTGCTGGAAGCATCTGAAGACTGTTTAAATCACCCCCCTGCATTTCAACTGGGTTGCGTGGGATGAGGTTGGGGATGTGTTTATTTCATCAACAAACAAATCTTATTGTTAAACACGCAGCAGAATTATTACGGAGGGAGACTGCTGTATTTCACAGGGCAGCCAACCCTATGCTTTTTTAATTAACGCAGGTCAGAGATCTGTCCTTACCGCTGTCGCTTCAGCAGCTTGCTGCCTTCGCCAATATGAAGAACTTCAGGGTCTCTCTACCTCGTATTTATGCTTCCGATGCGTATAAAAGCTATTTAAGAAATTAAAGAAATGGATCAGCTGTCACTCGCGGGGCTTTGATAACACTAACTGAAAGGGAGAGCAGGAAAACAAAACAAAAACCCAATGGCATTTCAGGCTGCCTGCCAGCGACTTCTGATAGCATAACAAGCAGCTCTTAAAAAAAATCGGGACCAACACACTGCAAAAACCTCAGTTTACTTGATCTTGCAAAGTGTCAGGAGGATTCACTCATTCTTTAAAGAAAGATTTAGCTGCTCGTTCACTACAGAATATGACTGGTATGTACATACATGTGCTCAGATTTATATCACATTTAGTCAGGATAAATTGCTTCAATAAATTCTATTCTTAAGAACAGGCAGAATAAGCAGATGATTGGATACTGGGAACACATTCTCATTCCTCTTCCTGCAGCCGCGGGACAGTATTTCACTGTTTTGATGATTTTTAGCATGTTGGAAACAGCAAGGGGAAGCGAAGAAATGCAGACAGATTACTGAAGCGTGCTTCAAAGTTCTGTCAGCACAGACCTGACAAGCAGCTGCCGTTGCATGGAAAACAAGACATTTTCAACCAAAATAGCCTGTGCTCCCCAAGTCTGTATGTGGGTTTGGTTTTTTTTTTTTTCCCCCTCTCTTGCCTTATTAATCATGCAAATAACCTATAGGCTGTCTGTAAAAAGAAGTAAACCCAAAGCCACACTTCGCAGCAGTCTCGAGCGTGGCTTGCGCTGATAATCAGGCAGCCCTTGGAGTCTGCACAGGGTATTTAAGAGTACAAATTTTCTGAAGACTAGCGCGTATAGAGCAGCGCTCTCAACGGGAGCAACTCCTCCGGAGCACGCACAGCACGCAGGAAAACAGAATGAACACGAGCTTTGCCTCCAAGAGCACATCTGCTCCGTAGCAGATCCCATTCCCACCTTCAACCGCAACGTTAACTCCTCACCAAAGCAACCACAGCATCACAAGGGGATGTTTGCAAAGCTGGACAAGCGTAGCCAGGACAACAGCCACACTTGCACCGTTTCTCCAGCACGGCTTATCCAAAGCTGTCAGCGCTGACAGAGCAATGACGACTTTTTCCTGAAGTTAATCTCGTTCTCGATTTGTTGGGGATATCGCCTCTTCCTACTTCTGGCATGGAGATAAATGAGAAATATTATGTGGAGTGGTTCAGCGCATGCCAGGATGCTGGGCTGACATCGAGCTGACAGCGGAGGCACGTGTTGCGATAGCGTGTGAGATATGAGGGGCTGGGCTCTCCTGCAAACGGAGAGAGGCAGAGCCCCAGAGCAACGTTCACCCAAGTCCTATTCCCAGCTCCATCACCGCCTTGCACCATGATCTTCGTCAACCCGCTTACGATTGCTTTGCAGCTAGAGAAAACCGAATGCTCTGGAGATTAAATGCACGCCCACGTAGGCTGCACTT